AGGCCTCCTACTATAGTATAGAGGCCTAGTCCAAGACCTTGTTGCAAATCCCAGCCCATATAAGCCTAACCTATAATGCCAAGCATAGGGCTCGTGATCGCGGTACCCTGACCATTAAAAATTAGCAGACGCACTAGGAAGCGCTGTTCACGGCATTGGACTGCAGCAAAAAATGATTCCCCCATCATTAATGGAACAGGCCCACGTCATGTTTGGCTGATTAGTTTTGATTTACATTTCGCAAGTCTAGTGCCATACGCAGCAAAAGTCCGTTTCTAGTATTGTTGTCAAATGCATTTCATAACCAGGCTGGTTTTCGATTTACGTTTTGGAATAGAATTTGGAGAGGGCGTTTGATCAAGTCAGACCTACGTTTTGAATTTGAATTACATTTTAAAGAAATTAGAACTACATTTTGAAAAATTTGAACTACGTTTTGAAAAATTAGAACTTCATTTTGGGAAACTAGATCTACATTTTGAGAAATTTACGCCTGCGTTTTGATAAATTAGACATTGAATTTTGCAATTACATTTTGATTTTAACATGGACTTTTGCTGCGTATGGCACCCCATAGTGCCATACGCAGCAAAAGTCCGTTTCTAGTGTTATTATCAAATACATTTTAAACCAGGCTGGTTTTTGATTTACGTTTTGGAATAGAATTTGGAGAAGGCGTTTGATCAAGTCAGACCTACGTTTTGAATTTGAATTACGTTTTAAAGAAATTGAACTACATTTTGAAAAATTTGAACTACGTTTTGAAAAATTATAACTTCATTTTGGGAAACCAGATCTACATTTTGAGAAATTTACGCCTACGTTTTGATAAATTAGACATCGAATTTTGCAATTACATTTTGATTTTAACATGGACATTTGCTGCGTATGGCACCCCATACACATGGGCCATAATGTACTGTACATGGTACCAATGGCTTATTAAATTGCTCTTCCGAAAGGCGGTGCGCTATCGTAACTTGCATTTAGCCCTCCAGCGCTTGAAAGCAAGGAGAGAAGCGATGGGAATTGAACCGGGGACCGAGAAATCTCCGTGGTTCAGCGCGCACATGTGGCTACCACCAGTTTAGCCGACTGAGCAATTGAAATTAGTATATCTATAAAGTGCTACCATTGTATTTATTTCATACGTCTACCAGACTAACGCCGCTCCATCTACTAATTATGTTTGGCTAGCTTTCTTGAAGATGAAGATAGATTAGAGAAATTACACCAAAAATCTACTAGATTTATTCCGGAGCTGAGGGGACTGGATTATGAGAATAGGCTACAAGACTAAACCTTCCAACACTAACTTATAAAGGGAAGAGAGCATCTACGGTTTATCAAGTTTTTTTAAATGTTTTTAATGGTTTTGACAAGTTGCCACTACGTTTTTTGAATTGTCGTCAGCTGTATTTACTAGGGGACATTCACTAAAACTGAGAGTTAAAACTAAGTAGGGGAACAAAGTTTTAGTGCGAGAGTAATTAATGATTGGAATAGTTTGTCGGTTGAAGCTGTGGATTCAGAAACAGTTAACAAATTTAAATCACCACCAGAAATTAAAACCGTATGTAGAGACTCAGACAGGGGGTGGGGGCGAATTTAAGCATTAATGCTTTGGCTTCAAGATCAAAGTAAATAAATTTAAAATACTAGTTTATTATTTTTGTGTTAGGTTTGCAAGTGGTTTTTTTTAAGTGAACTCAGGGACGGACCCATAATTTTTCAAACGGGGGAGGGGGCACAACATATTCAGAATAGATAAATGAGAGCGCTAATTTCAATATATGCCTTGAAATTTTTAAATTTAGTGGCAAAACGGGGGGGGGGGGACACGTGCCCCACACGTGCCCCTACTGGATCCGTTCCTGGAGCATCGATTATATATATACTGCAGATAGATTTTCATTCAACCAAGAACACACTCGCTCACATAAATTACTGATATACGCCCTCACATAATTGCACTAACATAGGCCAGAAAGAACCCTACCTGGTCGCACGCAGCCTAACAGTGCTCAAATATATAGGAACATGAATCGGAGGCAGGCTGGTTTCCCCCTGACATTTACCCACCTGGACACTTTCCCCCAGTATTTTGCACCCCCACCCGACATTTGTCCCCTGTGACATTTTCCCCGGACAGTTGCCGCACCTATATGACAATTCCCCCCACCCCCAAAAGCGGACTTTTTTTCCATATAGAACCATAGAAATAGGCCTAAAGTAATAATATTAAATATTGAAAATAACCATGCGTGGGTGTGTCTGTATGTGTGGATATGTATATTTGCAATGGCTATGTTATTTACCACTCTTATGAACTACAAATAAAGCAGGTATATCTTTTATCTTGTAGAATTATTAGGGAGGTGCTATAGGTTGAAAGTTACGAAAATTACCAATTGAACTCACGTTACCGGAAACTTGTGACGTGCTTGTGAGTTACTAGAAAATAGTTCAGTTTGTTGACGGAAATCATGAACTCATTTTGTTGACGGAAATCATGAACTACAGGTGCTTATAATCGATTTCAGAGCCGTACAAACAACATGTTCTAAATTTGCTGTTAACGTTAGATCTAGCTTGTGTGTCCTCTGATTCTGATGACTAAGATGTGATATATTTTAATTAACATAATTAGTAGACCGTTACTGTACGTTTGAATATTAGTACGCATTTCCTATTGGTAATTACTATCGCATAAATTATTCTCTTATTATAAATTATGAAGATGCAATCAACCCTTGATCTGTTATACTATTGTTTAGACAAATGTCTAGAATTTCAGTTGATTGTGTTAAGATAAGGTGATCGCCCAAAATGATATATTTCACTACGATCGCAAAAAATTATGATAGTCCATGTAGGCCTATTCCTATATTGGCGGACTCAGGAGGAGTGCCCCCATTTCCAGTCATCAAAGGGTGCCATAATCATAATTGTTTTCACCTCAGCCCCCCAACCATGGTTGGGCTGAGGTCGTCTAGACCCTCAATCTCTGACAGCCCCTCCCTGGGTCCCCTCTATATCGAATCCCTGGAACCGTCACAGCAATATACTTTTTTATTGAGGATGTTGCATAGGCCTAACCCGAAAAAAAAAAAACAAAAAAAAAAACACCCAAACTAATACTGATCTAGTGTCAAGAGTATTGTTTAGTCCGACTAAACTTACGGTTTACACTAGATCATGAGTATTAATTTGGGTGGTTTTTTTGAAATGATAGTATTATTTTTGAACGAAGTCTTAAACAAGAATGGAAAAATAAGAAAAAATACACATTATATGGCCTACTGTACTGCTGCTGTTTAGGTAAGGCATAAACGTTATAGACTTCCGCTCACTGCCTGCATATCCCGTACCGGCTTATTGATGCAAATTCCTTAGGCCTACTGAAACAAAGTCATAATTTTGCATTGAAATAAGACTTTATAACACAATGGAGGATCCAATACAAAGCATCCGTAGCCGTTAAAATAATTATATTATGTTACGTTTTTTTATCAAGTTAAAATGACAATTTACATAGGCCTATTTAAAATGTTTAAGAACAAGTTAAAAATAAAAAAGAATTTGGTGTTGTGGATGGATTTTGTAATTTTATTTGTAAACAAAGGTAATTAACAATAAAGAATCTATAATATTTTAAGAAAATTCCTAATTTGTGCATTTCTTAATGAACTCAAGTAGTTAGATCAATTATTTCTTTTTCTTTCCTTATTTTTTTTTACTTTCCAAAAAAAAAGAGTGGGGGGGGGGGTGGCACGGCCTGCCCTCCCCTCCCCACAAGTCCGCCTTGGAGGATGTTATCGCCAAAGCCCTAACGATGGGTCCACGTCCCAGAATACTATATATATTGTAAGCTCCTCTGAAACGTTTTAGCACTTCCAGCAAGTCGAGACTGAGAAGATAGTGCTGCATGGCCTGTATCGACGATGGGGCTAGTCAGTCCCGTTTCCCTTCTGACAGCGCTACTGTGAGAACCCTTTTCGAAAAGTATATATATATTTTAGGAACTCTTAATTAAAATTAATTTAAAAATTAGGATTATCTTGGGGAGCTTTTATTTTTGGTTGTTACAAGCTGATTTTGACTGGTCTAAAACTTTTAATGTACAAACGACAAAATGGATCAATAATTAATTAATATTTATGATAAAGATTAATCTATGAAGTATATTATTATTACTCATTAATTTCTATTCCTTTAATTGTTAACGTCAATAATTAAGTTCTGTCTACAGTGTACAGTCTATATTAGTATTGATTCTTTATTCTGAGTGACTTATTCCCTTTGGTTCTCTCTCGGGCGTTGACCTAGGCCTAATAAAGTCTCAATCAAAAAAAAAAATAAACAAATAAATAAAAAACCAAAAATCAATATATTTTGGTATCTTAAAAAATAGTCCTAATACCTATCATCGTTTTACTAGTCTTTTTTTTCTCGTAACTGAGGATATATGTAGGCGGTGGCTTTCTTTGATATTTCCTGATGCGACTTGGCATACTCTATTACAGTATTATTACTTATTATTGCTTGTCCATGGATAAACATTATTGGCTGTATCTTATACGGAGTAAACAATTATAATTGCATTCTGTTCGCTCAATATCGATCGAATAAAACAAGTTGGAATATGAAATATTATGCAGTTATTTATAGCAGGGTACAGAAATACTGTGGTCGTGTAATATTTGACCGGACGTACGCTTCATTGGATATGCGTAAATACCCCGCGTGTGTAATCGACGAACCCTTTTATTGGGTTTGTTGACAATACGGTTACACATACATGCTTTTATTAGTTATACCAACCACGCCCGCGTAAGTTTCTTTATCGAGTTGTTCATCAGTAATTAAGGTAATTATCTTGCATCTTACATCTTTTATTGATAAGATTTGAATCTGCGTTCCATAAAGGAAGACTGGAGTAATGTAAGTAACCCTATTGCACTTGATTCCAAGACTAGCTGTTGACTCTCAAATGCCCCGTGTGCGGCGGCAGAGATGCGAGTCAGTGGTTGTGGTGATATGGTGGTAGAGAAATTGAGGGCTGGCCAAAAATATTATTTATAAATCATTGTTATTGCAATCAGCCATGACCAAACTATTATAACAATCTTATAATTCATTAACTCATTCCGGATCCCTTATTCCTATAGTGACTTAATTTGAAACATGGATTTGTTTTTAATTCCTTAATGATTCGTGGTGTATTTGTAAGTAAAATAAAAGTGCGGCGGTACGGCCTTGGCAGAAAACACAATTGGTTCGTCTAATCCGAGCTTCAAAAGGCCACAAAACCACTCATAAGCACAATGTCGTTAAAATTGCATATTCATTTCTGTAGCTGTGTGGTGTTATTATTAAAAAACTTGAGCGTATGTGTAGCTATTATAATCTTGAAATGAAGGACTGAGGTATCAATTATTATTGATGTAATAATTGATTATTTATTATTCATATTTTACATCCAATATTTATTGGCTGCTACTATTGAGTGATGTATTGTGGCTGGCAGTTTTCTATATACAGGTATATATATATATATATGTATATATATATATATATATATATATATAGAACTGACAGGTGAAAATGCAAATGAGTTAATTGTTTTTAAGTAGGTATTTGTTGCTGTGCCTGCATTTAGACAATAGCTCGGTTCTGTTGTTTAGTGTTGACTGTTTGTCTGAATATATTATGTGAAGTTTCTCGGTTATGCATAAGTTGCAGCGTTTTGTTTTTGGGGAGTAAGCCGATGCTCTGTCGATGATAGACCATTTAATGTTGTAGGGTGTGTTGCTATCACTCCTGAAGATTGCATTAGCATGAAACAGTCTGTAGAGTGATAATACCCAGTTCTACAAGATATATATATATATAATTTTTTTCAGAACCATGCTGTGCATATGTTGGCCATTGCGTTTATAATTTCAATAATGTTAATATCCATGCAAATAAAAATGTATTGTCCCATGAAAAAACTCATTTTTAAAATTAACTTGATCAGTTTGAAGTAACATAAAAATTTTGTGTATTTAAAAAGTATGTTATACCCATAAATTTTACAGCAAAAATGGTAGAAACACTTCCAGTCACTGGAAGTGTTTTTTTTGTTATTTTTATCATTATCCAAATATAAAATCAGGGTACATATTTTTTAAATTTCAATAATTTCTATGCTCAAGTTAATAATTTTTATGTTACTGCAAAACTTTCAACATTTTGTTGTCATTTTCAGATTACAATACTTTTTTAAGTATTATTATTATTATTATAATTATTATTATTATTATTATTATTATTATTATTTAAGTATTATTATATCTACAAAATATAAAAGAACCATTAATCATCCAGAATTCTACTGTTGAAATAGTTAATTCCTTCAAATTTTTGGGTACATATATATCACAAATGACTTCAAATGGGTGGAAAACGTTTATCAAGGTGTGTAAAAAAATGCACAGTAGCGACATTATTTTCTGCGTAGATTGAGGTCCTGGAGGATTACTCCCCCGTGATGGGTCAGTCCTATAAGTCAGTGATATAGGGCACTCTCTGCTATTATCTGGTATGGGTACACCACGGAGAAGGAGAAGAAGGACCTCAATCGTGTAGTCTGCCTCCCGCATCATTGGGATCGAGCACCCTTCAGTAGACGTGATCTATCATGACCGTATGGTTAAAATGGCAATGGCGGTCACTGTGGACAGAAATCAGCCAGCCAACCATTTATTCACTTTGATGTGGAGTGGTCATCGATATCAATCACTAGTGACCGGGAGGGTAGATATCTATGTAGTTTCTATCCCTCTGCAATTAGGGCATTGAACAAGTCACTAGTTTGAAATTTTCGTATTTTATGTTTGTTTTTGTTTAAGGAACCAAATTGGATTTCATTGTATGTGTATTTTACATGTATATATGATCAAATAAAGTTTATTGAGTTAAAGTCAGGCTCCGGTTAAGAACTTAGGGATTATAATTGGGTTTCCCCTTCAACACCATTGAAACTAACTATAGGCCTAATGTAGCCTGACAAAAATGTCGTTGAACCTAAAATCCATATGGAATAATTCTTACAGTAGACATGTATCATATTTGAGTTTCATTTATTATTAAATACCTACACAGTTGTTTTTCTTTAAAATTTCCTGTTTTCAAATGAATCAGTTATTTTTAGCTGATGTAACAAGGGAGAGAGTGTTTTGGTATTAATGATGTCATGATGTGTGGACATTGCAGGGGAATTTTCTATTCACATAAAATAATCCGTAGGCCTACCATGATGAATTATTTTCCTGAACATCAACTGAAATCTTGATGTAAAGAATATACCAAAAATATTTAAAGGTTTTCTTTTCTGTCCTTTTAACATTAATACTAAATGGCAGTTGACAAAGAACATTTTCTTACTTGGGGCCCTGGATTATTAGTAATATATATACAGTATAATCATAATTGTATGTAGTCTAATATTAAATTAATACTTTGTAATTATCTTATATTGATCAGAACTAATTGACCCATAAAAATTCACAATTTGAGACCATGATAATTTATTAATAATCAAATTTATAGTAATACAGAATAATCATATAATAATCAATCCTTTATTGATGATTTGTAAATTTGTTTTTTTTTTTCTTACTATTCTGCTAAGATTTGCACCCTTGCAAAAGGAGACAATTTTTTTGAGACCAGAAGGTGGAGGAGCTAGTCCATTAGGGAGTAGTCCCTCAGGTAAAGGAATTATTCCATTGTTTGGAGGCCCGGTTGGAATGAATAGTCCCCAGAAGTACTCCTCTGAAGTGGATGGAGTAGTTCCCCAAATAGGGGAAGGAGTAGTCCATTAGGTTGAGAGACCAGTCTTCAAGATGGAGAAGTATACAATGTGGTAAAAGTAGTCCTCACCTGAAGGATCAAGGAAGTACTACAACAGTTTCTGGCATAACAATAACTTGCACCAATACACTTTTTTTGTTGACTTCTTAGTCATAGGTCAATATTGAATACTTTTTTGTGTTTAATGTATTCTACAAGTTTGTACAAACAAGGCTTTTGATTGTTCCACCTTTATCTTATAGAATCAACATTATAAAAATTCCTGTGGGGTTTTTCAACAGGTATATTGTCAAGCAGTATTTTACTTCCTTGTCATACTTTTACCAAAAAAATATCAAGATTTACTTATTCACCATTGTCGTCACGAAAGCTAAGACATACAGTTTGACAGCTGTTGAGAAGATAATCTTTATTTTGTATTGATAATTGAAGAAAAGAATGTTATTGTTAAGAGATGCCTACAAATACTTGTACAGTATTCTAACCACAATTATTGGATTTACACATCGTTTTTTATGTTCTTTACTGTTGCCGATCACTGCATATTATACTGTGGAGTTTTTAAACACTTTAAGGGGCAGTTCCAGAGAAAGAATCTGTGTATGTAGGGGCTATACACAGTGAGAAGCAACAAGACTGTGGAGAGGGTGGGGGGTCTGATTTAACCGATTTTGAAATAAAATTGATGATGAGTAAACAAATTACAACTAGGAATATCATGGAGTGTTTCCAATACCAATTTCCTTTTCTCTATTCCCTCTTCCTCTTTTCATCCCTGAAAGAGAATCTTTTTGGTTTATTTTTCACCCTACTGTAGCAATTTTGACCAATGCTGTAATTATAGTAACACACTATCAAAGTTCATCATTCAGTGACCCACCATACACAATTCTTCATTCAATGAGAAAATATAAAATGTACGGCAATGCGCGTATCAGCGTGCATTCAGGG